TGAAATCCGCTTCGGGTGTCAGCTCTTTGATTGGCTCCGGAGCTGACGATTACAATGAGTTTAGTTCAGGTCATCACAACATTTAATGTTTTCATTTTATCAAGTTTTTTGTCAGGTTTCAACTTTTGAAGGAAAGGCATTTTGTTTAGCAAATTAATTATATAATAGATTACCACTTATATAGAGTGAACTCATGTCCGGCAGGTCTACAGAAACGGCTTTCTTTACTTCTGCCACTGAATTGATTAACTAATTGACACAAAATATAATTACTATTTAGTAACCACTCATTTGGTATTAATCTCTTAATCTTACGGCTCTATTAGAATCCCTCCAACGAGATATGGCTTTGGGATCAGATATATTGATGGCCACATTCTTGGCGTCCTGAACCATAACGGGAACGGCTGAATGGAAAGGATATGTTATGTGTTATGGCATAATGTCTAACATGTACGACAAGAATATCTAAATATCTAAGAATATCTAAATATCTAAGAATATCTAAATATCTAAGAATATCTAAATATCTAAGAATATCTAAATCTATGACTGACTGGACTGCAACTCATCGGCTGCTCTGTTGACTCGACTGATGAAATTGGGGTCTTCAGAGTTGTCGGACTCCTGTTTGGCGACCATCAGAACCCGATTGGCCAGACGTGCGATATTAGAGGTGTTGTCAACCATACTCTGTTGCTGTCGGTTCACAATCGCATTCTCACACAAAGCCGTGTATTTTAATATCGAGTCCTCTGAACACAATAAACAATACTTTAATCAAATCATACAAATTAAACAAATCATTAAATACCAGACGCTTTAATAAAGCTAACGGTGTCCACCGCCTCGTCCACCATATTCCTCATGTTCTGAATGGTGTCTGAGTATTGTTTTCTAAGATTCTCGAAGTGCTCATCGGCTGCCTTATTGTCAGGATGAGTGAGTCTGATTCGTCCGGCGCTGACCAACTGAGGGGTCAAACTCTCGATATGATTGGCAGATGTCATCAGCCCTTCGGCCAGTCGTTTATTGGGAGCACTGCCTGAGGCTACGTTTCGTG